TGATGAAAAGTGAGCGATCAGTATTTTGTTGCATTATTGGTTTCATTCCTTCAGTTAACTGTTCGAAGTTATCAATATTTTAAAACCTTTTGATGATTATTAGTTGCAAACGCAAGCAGCAATTGTTAGTAAAAATCATTGCACCTGAAGATTCTTTAGAACAAAAAACTAACAAGCAAAATATAAAAAATCCTTTTTTTTAAACACAGCCTATATTAAAAAAGGGTGAGGACCATTAGATTCTATCACTCATTATTGCAAGGTTTATCTACCCTTTTTCTAAATAAATCAAAATTAATGACCAATTATTAACTAATTGGTTAATTTTTTTTAATGATTCATGTGTTGCCTTTGACTATGAATACTTGTGCGAAATTTCAAAATGATTTGAGAATGGAAAGATGAAGAAAAAATGTGTAAAAGAATCCACCCTGACAGTGTGAGAAGAATCCACCCAGACAGTGTGAGAAGAATCCACCCAGACAGTGTGAGATGGTATAAGCTTTGTAAAAAGTAAAGTTGCAATTTTGCATAAAACGCTGAATTTACAACTACAATAAAGATCTATATTTTGTCTTTTTTCAGAACATGTGCTGTTTGTAATAGAGCTTTCAACGACTCAACATTTGTGCACTATCCAAACGGAGTTATAACCCATGTCCATTGTGCCAAGAATAAGTATGTTTGTCCTGTATCTGGGAAACTCTTCAGCCTTGGCAAAAGATGACAGAGTGGGTGATGATGCTTATGTTTGTATAGCAGAATTTTTAGACAAGAATTTATAGTAATGACACTGGCTAGCATTTATGGACACACAGTCTTCAAATGATTGGTCAATGACATTGTTAAATTAGTATACTCAGTTGTTCTTCACCACTAACTATTAAAAAATGCATTTTGATATGTCACCGATATTTTTTGCAAAACATTTGAACAAAAGTAGCTCCCATAAAGAAACCTAGTCTAACTAGTTTAATTAGTTATGCTAGTGACTTTTAGTAGTAAGCCTGTTGTAAACATTTTTTTCTGTGTTGATTCATTTGTAATCTTTGTCTAGTCTAGTTGGCTATGGTCATCTGCAATCAGTGTGGTAATCTGACTTTAAAATTTTAGAGGTTCTTATGCTAGACATTCTCTTGAGCCAATAGTACTAAATTTATGATCTCTTAGTAGCGTCTTCTTCTTCTTCTTTCTTATTTTTTCATGTCCAAGAGTTCATATCAGTATTCCCATGTCTGGGATGAACCGCGCAGTGGTTTCCAGATCAGGCAGTTCTCCATACAGTCTTTTTCTCTATTGGAGGGTTTTGGGGCCAGACTCAACATAATGTTATGGCAAGATTAGGAATTAATTAATAGTTTCAGAAATAGGGGAAAGTAACAATGACATGACTAGTAAAACAAGGATAGGGTTTTAGAGACAGAACGAAATAGAAGTCGACGTAATTAGACTACTCTCATTACAACGTAGAAACAAGTAGCATTTTATAAACATATAGAGGTAGATGACATTCAACGTTTCCCTTCGTTGCTATTAAAATTATTCGACTTTCAGTATCAGCATCGACTAACTTCTATTGATTGTTCAGCCTTTTGCCGGTATTATTGGATTACATATTCAGTTGACTGTTACTTCCATTTGGTTTATTTGCATTAGACGCAGTGAAGCACTTAACAAGTACTAAATTTATCATTTCTCAGTAGCCTCTTCTTCCTTCTTTTTTCATGTCAGAGAGTTCAGATCAGTAATCCTATATCTGAGATGAACCCTGCGGTGTTTCCAGATCAGGCCTTTCTCCGTATAGTTTTTCTTCTATTGGAGGGTTTGGGGGCCAGAGCCAACACTAAATTTATGATCTCTCAGTAGCAAACACGAGTTTTTAAAAATTCTGTGCCACATTGTCAGCTAGCTTTTTAAACTATTGTTTAAGGATCTTATAGAATCTAAAGACATTACAGCTCTAGGGAGAGTAGTATCTTCTAGCTCTCTGAATAACACTGTAGATGATGTTGTGTACCCTTGACAGCTTTCATAACATCGTAAATCTACTCCCTTGTGACTGATACTGTCTTGGAAATGTCGGTTGATTCTGGTTTTGAGGTTGTCTTTGTCTACTAGATGCATAGTAGTATTGATTATTATTTTGTCATCACATGTGATCATAGGACAAATGACCTGTTTTTCTGTGTCTATTGGTGGTTTTCAAGTGTAACAAAAAAATGTCAAGGACACTGAATTGACTCTGAATGTTGCCAACTGAATTAAAAAAAAGTATAAAATTCTTAATGTTTTCTTTTATGAATACACTAGCCAATAATTCTATAGTACATATCCATGTGTCAAATATATTTTATAAGCCCGAAGATGTGAAACTGAACTCATAATTTGTAATAGCTTGTTAATAAATCTCAAAATCTAGTTTTTAAATGCAATGGTATTCTCTTAAGATAAGCCATATCTAAAGATCAGAACTATTTTTGTAGCTAAACAACATCAATTGTTGACATCATATTTGTAAATGATAGACAAGATCTACATAGTTTAGATTTCATTCTAATTTATTGACAACATTATTAAACTAAACTTTACATTCCTGATAAGTTGTCATTAGAACCTGGTTAATCTTCATATCAACTTTGTTTTATTACCTGTAGTAAATTGCCCTGTTTTTAAATTAGTTTGGAGTTGTGCCTCTGTCTTAAAGTTAAAATTCTAATGATTTGTCCATTAGAGTTGATTCTGTGCTAGAAATGGAAGAGCTTGGAGGAAAATTTGTATCTGTAGTGCTTAAAAGTGCTAAAAAATTATCGCATGTCTTTTAAAAAGCAAAGCTTATCAACACTTAACACTTACATTATTCTGCGAGTTGATTCTGTGCTAGAAATGGAATAGCTTGGAGGAAAATTTGTATCTGTAGTGCTTAAAAGTGCTAAAAAATTAACGCATGTCTTTTAAAAAGCAGCTTATCAACACTTAACACTTACATTATTTCCCCCCCCCCCCCCCCCCCCCCCCCCCCCCCCCGGTTACACCAAAAATCTTTACTATTTATAGTTTTTCCACCATGTATGGAACCTCCAATAATTAAAACATATTAGCCCCATTGTTTGGTCAGACTGACAAAAGGGCTAGAGGGCGAACTTCTACATGTCTTTGATAGTGACTTCGTAATTTTTATTTTAAAATTTCTTATGAAACTTGAGTTGCCTCTTTAAGTTGATCAATGCATTCAAGTGCCTCCTTGGCTGTAGTGTTTTTTTTTTGTTTTTTTTTTAGAATGATGTCCTCCAATGCTTCCTCTGATAGAATACTGTAAATTTGATCTCTCATGATTAGGTCAATAATACATTTCACTTTCATGGGAATGTGTGCTGTATTTACACAGTTTTTAAAAGTCCTTTGCAGATTGACGTAAAACTCCTTCGTGTCCTCCCATTTAGGGCATAGATTCTTTATAAAATCAAGGTTTGATCAGGTGGCAATTTTGGCATTGTTCAATGGTCTGTTTAAGCACCTCTACTGAGAAAAGTAAGTTCTTAGACTTGACTCTACTGAGAAAAGTAAGTTCTTAGACTTGACCCTACTGAGAAAAGTAAGTTCTTAGACTTGACTCTACTGAAAAAAGTAAGTTCTTAGACTTGATATGATGTACAAGTCTTGTAACACATGGATGGCAGAGGTATTCATGATAAGTCTTTTGTCATGGTAGCACAATGTCCACTAGACAAAATGTCTGCTTCTGTGTAGGCGTTACCAGCTCTGAACTGAATATCAAATTTGAAGCCAGCTAGTTCTAATTTCCATCTTTGTATTGAGTCATTTTTAATTTTTCTGTTATGAGAGTCCTTGATTAGAAATGCAATAGATTGCTGGTCAGTAATCAGGGTAAAATGATTACCACACAAATAATGTTTTCACTTGCAAATAGCTTCTTTCAACTATTGCAGTGGTTCCTTTTCTATCACAGATTGATGCTTTTCATTAGATGAAAGAGCCATAGAGAAGAAGGCAATTAAACTTTCATCCTGGTTCAATGTAGAAGCTACTAAAATGACAGAAGCATCAGTTTTGACAGTTAGCGGACGATTGTAATCTATTGTAAAGATATAATTTTTTTGCAATTCCTAACCCTTCATTTGTAGTCCATTAACTGTTTCTTTCCGTAATTATTTTCCACGTTCCGAGGGAATTCTTCATTCTGCTCATTGGTATTTTTTCTACCCTGCATGAAGAACTTTGTCATTTGTTATCAGAAAGTGTTTTAGTTGGTATAGAGTTAAAGGGGAATGCCTGCCCTTTGTATATGAGACAAAGTAAAGTTTAAACATTCCAATTTAATTTAATGAGGTCAAATCAACGATGGTATCGTCAATCAGGAGAGAAAGAGTTGATGAAACGGTTTTACTTTTGGAAGCAGGCGTCACATATTCAAGACATCAGTGAAATTGAATTTTCATATCGTTTTTTTTTTTTTTCCTGTTTGAGAATGAACCTGACTAGGAAAAATAAAATGGAATTCCAGTTCTTCCAGCAGGGGTGATAAAAAAAATCAGAAGTATGTTTTTTTTTAAGAAGGCCTAAGTAATTTTACTGTCTATCCCAGAGTAATGTATATACTGTTTTGTCTCCCTTTTAACTAAAAGTACATTGCTTTTGTTAAACATTTTTTGATGGTTTAATTAGAAGCCAAGTCTTCTGAAGAGTTTATGTGACTGTGTAGACCCTCTTTCGACTTTCATATTTAGCTATGCCTAGTGCAAACGGTGCTTTTGACTTCTGGGATTTGATTTCAGTTCTATTTTCTTTGATGTTGAATTTTTTTTTTTAATGTCAAATATTTGTATCACAGTCTTCATTAACATCTCTCCTGCTGTTCCAGCTCAGAGGCCAGTTGCTTCTTTGTTCTCTCTTTGTCTTTAGATTAAAGGTGTCTCAAATCAATCTTAGAATGATAAGGAAGCATAGTTGGGAGTTTCAACTCACCTTTTGCATGCAGTCAGCCATCCCCCCCCCCCCAACCCCTTTGAAAGAGACTGATGCTCAGCACAGCTTTATCACACTAAACAGTGTCTCTTTCTTCTAGCTTTAGGGCATTGTTATTGTCTTGTCCTATCTCTTGATAATGTTTCTACCACAGCTTTCAATATTTGTTTTTGTGGAAAATGTGCAATTATTTGAGTATGTAATTAATTGTTTTCTTTGTAGAATGTCGAAATGATAGTGACATTAAAACATAAAGGAATGTAGGTATTTATCATGTTTAACATTGAGTCATCCACTGATGACTTGTAGTGGAAGACTGAAGTGTTAGGCACTCGTACACTTTTCTGTTGGTTCACTTTGTGTAATTATTTTACGTACAAAGTAACTTTTTTGTTTTTCAAATAATGAAAATAAAATTTTTTTGGGAAATGAATTTTATTACTTTTTCAGTAAATTGTTTATAAAAATGATATTTAAAAAAATAAAACAATCAATATTTATGCTTTATTTTGTTAATAAAAGTACCCAAAAGCACCCCTTACAGACCTTGCGATCTATAGGGCAGTTAATGTAAAGTTCATCTGCCAGCACAACAACCATCTTTACTTGTCCCAACTAATCTCAGGTGTCCATTACAGTTGTGTGGACTCTGGAGTGTCTAGAAAATCCTGAAGTCCAAAATCCCAGCCTTCACAAAGATTTGAACCTGAAGTCCCTCAGTTCGGAAGCCAATCGCACGACAACTCAGCCACCACTCCTCCTATTTTTGTTAATAACCATTTTCAAGTAACAAAAACTTAATCCTGTAAGAATGTTTCAGTACGCACTCAGTTATGATTTTTTTTTTATTTACTGTGTGACTTAACACCAAGGCTAACTCACGCACACTCACACACAATTCTTGTTTTTATTACATCATAAGGTTAAATAAAATAACACAAATTTGTTATTAGTGAAATATATTTCTTTTATTGTCTGTTAATCAGTCTTTTGAAAAAGTTTAATCTTTAAAAAAATAGATACTGGACTCGAGTTCAGTTAAAGTAACACCCAGATCTTTTTTGTAAGTCCCAGATCTGCACCATTTGAAGACATGTTTTTAAAAAAGTATAATCATTGTAGGTAAGTCCAAAAAACAAAAATAATCTTCACCAAATAAATGTTGATAAAATAAAATTTTATAGTAAACAATTTAAAATCTTTCAATGATCTTTGAACAAATAACAGATCAAATTTAAAAAATGTGGATGACAACACACTCTGGTAATGGAAGTACTTACTAATATTTAACAAACAGTAAAAAAAAAAAAGGTAATAGGTTGGACTGAAGTATTTTTAATGAATGAAATGGATGGACGGAAAATATAATGTTACGACGTATAGAGATGGAGGATACAAGAATCTAATGACTTTGAGGACTGAAGTATTTTTAATGAATGAAATGGATGGACGGAAAATATAATGTTACGACGTTTAGAGATGGAGGAAACATAATGAAGAATGAATGACTTTGATCACTAACATAATATAGTCACATACAAGTCAAGTTTATGTGATTGAGTATTGTCAATAGTTTTTTTTTTTTTTTTTTTTTTTCACTTAAAAGTCTCAAAGTTTCCCAAATGTGTATTTAAAACATTTTATACTGAATCAATCTTCAATGCCAAATATATATTAAAAAAAAAAACATCATATTTCTATTTTAATAAAGTGTTAATATTTTGTATGCTATTCAAACTTCAACTATTTTAATATTTAAACAAATTAAGGGAACTATGAACTGGAATGTGGTTGTTTTCAACAAAACACATATAAATATATTTATACAAATCAGTTTGAATGTTTATAGCTAACCAATGAGACGATATGAAGTCGAAGATGTTATATATAGCTTCTATCACAGTATTGAACAGGAATGAAATTCTATACTAAAATAAAAATGTTCAGATGAAATTCATAACCTGGGCATTTTGTTGCATGGCTGAAAATGATTTAAGATTGACAAAAAAAAAAAGCGTCAATGTAATGTGATAATTAAAAAAAAATTGATTGTTGACTATTAGCTGAGACTTCTTAACATGCATGCATATCATCATCTTAAAAAATAAGGAACACATGTAAATTGCTTTTCTCGATACTGGATGTCATTACTCAAGCACTGTAATAAATTGAATGGCTGCATGGTCATGTCAGATGCACTTGGTCTGTCATTATGGCAGTCCCGAGCCTGCTGCCATTTCCTTCATCCTGAAAGAGGTTTGGGCTAGAACTCAACTCTTTCCTAATTAACTATGCCATATTGAATTGACCCAATTAAATTCAATTAATTTTAGATTTTACAAACTTTAATTTTGTGTTTTAAAAAAGAGCATGCATTCTCCTATAATTCTATACCAAAAGTAATGTTTTCTGATTGCAAACATAGATGCTATTGAAGTTTAATCATAACAGGGTAGAATGTACAAATGTGAAAAAAGAACAATTCTGTCAGAACATGGAAGATAATTACGGAGATAAGAGTTAATAATCCTCATTTCTGAAGGAACACAGAAACTTAAAAAAAGCTATTTAACTGTAAATCTCTGAAGCATTGCATTTGAAGGCTAGGACGTTAGCCACTTTTGCTGCCACTGTTCACTGACATGGTTAAAATTGATTGTTAGGTAAGCTCATTACTGCTAGGACTGCCATAAGCAACAGTGTCATCAGTCTGAGCTATCCCACAATTTGTGATTTCTACAAAAGTACAAGATTCACAAAAGATTTCTAGGCAAGTGATAACATTGTAGATGTACACACACCATTTGGCATCTAGGCAAGTGATAACATTGTAGATGTACACACACCATTTGGCATCTAGGCAAGTGATAACATTGTAGATGTACACACACCATTTGGCATCTATAACACACACACTGTAACTTTATCTGACATTTGTATTGCACACTATCAAACATAGAAGGCATTTCTAAGAAAATAACTCACTTTGCTCCTAAAAAATTAATGAAACAACATGGCCAATCCAGCAAATTAATGATAGTTCAACAGTAAGGAAAAATGAATGGCCTAGAGATAGGTACAAAATAGATCAAACTTCTTCCTTATTGCCAAGACTTGAAAGGCTTTTCCTCATAAAGTATCCTATTTAAGATTGTGTATCAGATATATTTTCCATAGTATAAATTAATAACAAAAATAATTTCCTTAGTATAATTTAATTTAAAAAAAATTTCCTTAGTACTCCGTATTAATTTAAAAAAATAAATAATTTCCTTAGTATAAATGAAACAAAAAATAATAATTTCCTTAGTATAAATTAATAAAAAAAAAATAATTTCCTTATTCTTAGTATTAATTAATAAAAATAATTTCCTTATCCTTAGTATAAATTAATAATAAAAAAAAGAATTTCCTAAGTATAAATTAATAAAAAAAAAATAATTTCCATATTCTTAGTCATTTCTATTACTGTAAAAAATTAAACATTCGACCATTAAGAATACTAGTCACTGAAAATCAATAAGGAAGGTCAAGGACGGAAGTATATAAATAAAAATGATAACTTTCATGAGCAGATATCAACATGTTACACAAATAATCTAATAAAGTCAAAATATCACACGTGAATATAATCACCCGGAAAACAAAGAATCAACGAATCAACAAAAACTGAAGGTCAATAATAGTCAATACCGTTCTTCTTCTTACGAGATTTTTTGTTACTGACGGACGGTAGTGCATCCAAACGAGTTGGCTTGCGAACCAGTTCGTCTGAATGAATCTGGCCATGAACCTGAGCTGCTCGGAGATCACTGCTGACATCCTCTTCTAGATAGCTCATCCCGTTTGCAGTTGTTGAGTTTAAGGATCCTGGTTGGCGAAGAGAATTACGGATGTCTTGCATATCTGTATTTTAAAAAAAGAAAACAGAAATAATGTGCCAACTTAAAAATGAAAATAAAATGAGAATGTAGGTTGTAAAGTGAGTTTTTTTGTGTTATATCACAATTTAATTCACATTTTATGATGTTATGATGTCCATTGAGCTCAATGGGAGGTGCGGTGGTTGAGTGGTAAAGTCCTTGGATTTCAAAACAGTGGTTCTGGGTTGGAATTCTGGTGAAGACTGGGGTTTTTACTTTTGGGCACCTCTGAGTGCATCCAGCTCTAATGGGTACCTGATATTAGTAGGTGAAAAGTAAAGGAGGATGGTCGTTGTGCTGGCCACATGACATCCTCATTAAGCATGGGACACAGAAACAGATGACTTTTACTTGCTCCATGGAGATCTGATCTTGAATGTAACTATGCATGTAAAAACTTTGTTGGTAACACATTTGTTAACAAACTTTTGAACTTACTAAGTTTATTCACAGGCTCATTCATATTCATTAATTGAGAAGCTCGTCGAGGCTGAAGCAAATGACTTTGATCTTCTGACCTACGGAGTTTCTTGAAAAAAAAAAAGTTGAAATACATCAACTGACATATAACTAATGGAACATTTTGTTTATTATGCAAAGCGAAAAGCATTAAAGATGTTGAGCAAATATTTCATGATGAGCAAATAAATTTGGTACATTTAAAATATATATGGCCCAAATGCTTTAATACTTCAACTGCTTGAAAGATCACATCATAAATGAGAAGATTCAATACTGGACACAACTGCAATAGGCCTCCATGATGACCTGCTGACCACTGTCCAAAAATGCAAACTAAAACTTTGTAGCTACATCACAAGATCCGCAGGGCTTGCAAAGACTTTCCTTCAGGGAACAGTGCCAGGCAAAAGAAGAAGATGCAGACAGAGAAAGCGATGGGAAGACAATGCTAAAATACCCTTCTAAAGAATGAACGTGCCTGCCATAGAAAGAGATTCTATTCATGGCTAATGACAGAGAGGAATGTAGAAAGATGGTTGACAGCTCATGCGTGATCCCCCAATGGTGACTTCAACTGCTTCATCAATCCAAACAGGGTGTTGACTGATAGATTAACAGGGTGCTTTTAAAATTTTCTTAATCAAATATTTTAGAAAGGTAATTTTCACTCAACAACATGTAAGGAATTAGTTAAATTAACAAACTTCTCTGAGTTTCTCATCATCCACATCATCGTCAAAGTCTCCATTCATTCCCATATGACGATTTCTTCCTTCCATTTTGCCATTTGGAAGCACGGTGCCTGTAAAATACATGAAACGCTGAGGTTGTCAATTGTAGTCAAACTGAATTTCCATTTGAATGGATTAATACAAATTATCTTATCTTAAATGGTTATAGTACTGTCACTGCAGTTTGAGAAAAAAACTGCAAAATATAACAAATAATTAAAAAACAACAACGAAGCCTTGTATAATGGAACTGCACAATTATGGACATGACTAAATACTGCAATATTTACCACCCTTTTCTGTTAAAAAAATTAACTTAGTAGTTAATTTTTTCGATTGATTCATTTGTTATTAACAATGAATAATTGTGAAAAGTTTCAATTTGATTTGAATACGGGATGTGGGAGAAATAATATGTACAAGATTTATACCAGACAGAGTGAGTTGATATAAGCTTTGTACATAAAAGAATGGCCTACAAGTAATGATACTAGTAGCTATTTAGTCCTCCTTCCATTCTACTAAGTTCAATCAAAGTTTGAGGGTAAGATCTTATGACCTTCTTGAAAGGAAGAGTTCCAACTTTTTCTATGATGAGAATGACCCCTTATTTTTCTTTTTCCCAAAAGGTGTCCTCCTGACCAGCCCTGGATTTACCTATAGTCAACATAAACTATAGCTTAGGACCCCCCCCCACTTGCTTGGAGTTCCTCAAAAGTACCAGGAATGTTTTCAATCATTTTGAAGAAAAAGAAAAGAGGAAAATTAGGCTAATGTTGGTTACAAGGGCCCATATCTCAAATAGCTTAGGGCCTTATTAAGTCTAAATCTAGTCCTTCTATGCTTCCAACTAGTATTAATTCTGTTCTAACAGGATTTCAATTTTTATCTTTTAGTTTGGCAGACCCCGAATGCGATGGATTGATAATGTGGAGGCAGATCTGTAACAGCTTGGGGTTAAGGCATGGAGATTAAAGGCCCAGGACAGATCTGAATGGAGGGATGTGTTGAAGCAGACCAGAGCCCTCCATGGGCTGTATCGCCTCTGGGATGGATGGATGAATAGTTTGGCAATCAATGTTATCACCTTGTCCACCTTGACAGACTGAAGATATCAACCTAAGCTACCGATCTATCTCATTGCTAAACATTTAACAATATTTAAATCTCAATTGAGAACTGAGAACCTGAAACAGGAAGTGCAGTTCTGTCGATCACCATCTTCGGCAA